GGGCTTTTCTTCCGAGAGAGACGGAGGGATGCTCCGCAGAGAATGCAACTTATTTTCCATTCCCGTTCCTGCCGCTGATGTTTTGTGGGTTGCACGACTCCGAGGGATGCTCCTCCGGTCTTCTTCACATGTTGGCAGCTCGATCCGTGCTTCATTCAGTGGAACATCGAGCAGAGAAAGAGGACGACAAGATAGCAAGAGCTTTGCGTGGTGCGGCAGTTGTGGTCTTTTGTTTAGTTCGCAGAGGACAAAGCCGAGTGGGTTCGCGGCCACTCCAACCACCCCACCCCCACGGGGGCAAGCCATCCGATGTGCTCCATTACCCCTGGTAAACACATCCCCATTACAATTTATAATAATAGGGCCACGGTGACACACGCAAGGATTTAATGGTCCCAACTCATTTGATGATGGTCTTTAATTGGATGTTATATAGAGCTGCTGGCTGTCGTCTAAAAATATGCGGCAATTGACGGGTCGTATATCGTTATCATCGATACTGTTATCGAGTCAAATGAGATTACGTCCACCAGATCGTGGCATGGAATTTACTTGATGTCTCGGTCGTGGTGGGGTCTCCCTCGGTACAAACAAAATTGGTGGCAAGTAAATAGTTGGGCGTTAATGAGTTAAGAGTCGCAACTTTTGTGGTGCGCAGTGTAAACCCTCGCTTGCACGCGAATGGATAAAGCCCAGCGTGACCGACAGTCAACCCCACCCTCGGCACGTACCCACGTGGGTGCGGGCCTCTTTGTTCCGGTACGGCGGGAATGCGGCGGGGCCCAGCATCTAATACGCACCACACGCGAAGCCGTGATCCCGTCTCCTAAGGACATGAAAGTCTGGGACGATAAATAGTGGCGCCACCCTCTCCCGCGACCGTGTGCCTCTCCGCTCATATCCCGGCACACCCACTCCGCGTTCGCCACGGGCGAGGCGTACATGGCCAAGGGGCGGAGGCACGGGGCGGAGCGGCTCCTCGAGGCTCCCGCCCATTCCGCAGGCAGAAGTGGCGCCGCCGACCTCCCCAACCTCGCCGAGGACGACATCTGGGCCGCCTTCGAAGGCGACAACGACGAAGGCGGCGGCCAGGACCGGCGGACGAGCCGCGCCCGTTCACGCGTATGGGTTGACGGGCACGTGGGCGGTCTCTCCCTGAACTTCGAGGACTCGTACCATGGGACGGCGGCGGTGGCGGCCCGGTCGCTGCCGCTCGATCGGCTCCGGGTGGCAGCTTCAGCGCCAGTGAACGTGCCAGCCTGGTCAAGGTCGCTTCGGTCCAGCTCGGGCGTTCCGCCGCCGGAGGAGGAGGCGGAGGAGGAGGAGGAGGAAGAAACGGGCGGCGAGTGGCTGCCGCCGCACGAATACCTGGCGCGGGTGCAGGGGAAGACCATGGGGACGTCGGTGTTGGAAGGCGCGGGGAGAACGCTAAAGGGACGGGACATGAGCCGGGTCCGGGACGCGGTCTGGAGCCAGACCGGCTACTTTGGTTGAAGCGGACCGAAGCAGGCAATCACAGCCCACCTCCGATCGTTTCTTTGCATCCTTGATGAGTTTTGTGAAGCGGTCGTTTGGCCTCGTAGAGTGGAATGGAATTTTTGCGACCTAATAGATTGCTTAGCGATGAGGCTGACGTTGAAGAAACCAATATCGACCACAGCTAGTTTAGGTGGTAAAGAAGGATTAAGCGAGATCCTGATTCAGACTCGTCTTTGCCAGATTACTTGCGTTGATTCCCACTTCCGTACGGGGAAGCGATAACACCACCACGGCTGGATGTCACTTCCTCTTCTCAGTGAAGGAACCTAATGGTGTTTGGGCGAGGCGATATGCCTTGCAAGCTACCAGATGCTCATGCATTTGATGGCGGTCGTCTATGCTCTTCTTCTTCTTCTTCTTCTTCTTCTTCTTCTCTTCTTAAAGCTGTGTGGGACACAAATTACTTCTTCTCTTCTTCATCCACGACCCCAAGCACACAAATTCCTTTATTGTGATATCACACCCACTGATACCGATTGATCTTAACTTTTACGCGCCCAAAGGAGGCGTAATATACTAAACATCAAGAAAAATTACTCCAACACTCTGAAGCTGTCATTTTACCGATCGAACGAGTTGAATTAATTATTAGGGAA